TTCTACTCCCGTAAAGATTTACACCCTCGGAAACCCTGTACAGGGTCGCTATGGGTCGGAACCGACTCGACATCACTTAACAACAACAACAACAATATAGTAAAGGAGTCCTGATGTGGCACTGTGGGTTAATGTATCAGACTGCAAAGTCGTTTGAACTGCAAGGTCAATGGTTCAAGCTCACCAGCTGCTCCTCGGAAACCCTATACAGGGTCACAACCAACTTGACAGCACTTCTCAACAACAACAATATAGCCCTGTTGTTGCTTTTGTTAAGTGCCAATGAGTTGGTAGCAACCTGTATAGGTTTTCTGAGATTGTAAATCTTTGCAGGAATAGAAAGCCTCATCTTTCTCCTTTTGCCTAGAAAGCCTTAGCAAAACCTACAAGCTCCTAAAGAAAACAGTACGACATATGAGAACAATTGCCAACAAAACTCTAGTTTCACTCCTGCAGGAACACATAAACCTATGTTGTTAAGCACTGTCAAGTTAGTTCCTATTCATATCAACCCTGTACAGGGTTTCCAAGAAGTAGCTGGTAGGTTTGAAGCACTGATCTTGTGGTTAGCAATCCAGTACTTGTCCTACAGTACCACACAGCCTTTCTAAATCAGTTGCTATGGATAATCAAAGGATAAAACTTACATCAAGAAGCTTAATTTTCTAATCTTTTTTCATTACCGGTAGTCTGGGTATGGCACTGTGGGTTAATGCACTGGACTACAAAATTGTTTTGAAATGAAAGGTCTGTGGTTCAAACTCACCAGCTGCTCCTGGGAAACCTTATACAGGGTTGCTGTGAGTAGGAATTGACTCGATGGCACTTAACAACAACAAGATAAAATTTAAAGTTACCTAATAATAGCTCTAAGGAAGCTCTGGTAGCGTAGTGGTTACGAATTTGGCTGCGAACCGCAAGATCAGCAGTTCGAAACTACCAGCTGCTCCACGGGAGAAAGATAAGGCTTTCTGCTCCTGTAAAGATTTACAGCCTCAGAAACCCTGTACAGGGTCACTATGAGTTGGAACCAACTCCATGGCACATAACAACAACAATAATAGCTCAAATGGGGGGCATGGTCATTTCACACGATAAGCAAACCATAAGGCCAAGGTTCAAGCCCGCCAGTTGCTCCATGGGAGAAAGATGAGGCTTTCTGCTCCCTTGAAAATGTAAAGCCTCAGAAACCCTATACAAGGTTGCTATGAGTCAGAGTCTACTTCACAACACTTAACAGCACAATAATAATCTATGTGGAAAAGAGAACCCGCCTATAGTCAATGAAGACGCACTATACCTGGATCTGTGTCACAGTTCCTTCAGTAATTTCATCATCTGCCACCTCTGTGGTTGCAGTCATCGTCACCTCAAAGCTCTGATCATTTTCTGAAACTTCAAGAAAAGATACAATTCACCAGCAGAATAATAATGGTGGGTTCTAATTAATCTAAAAATATTTTTTGGGGAAAAAAAATCATTAAATTTTTTATCTTTGCTATTACATCATCACATGTATATGTATGCATTTATTCTGCAATAAAACATTTATTATATAATGATTATACACTAGGCAATGCTCTGGGTACTAGGGATACAGCAGTGAGAAAAAGAACCAAAAAAAGCCCAAAATCTTGCCTTCATGGAATAATTTATATTGTTTCTAGTGGAAGAAGATATGCTATATGAAGATGGTGAGGGCGGTTATGTGCCATGGATTTGGTTCCTACTCATAGCGATCTCGGCATAGGGTTTCAGAGGCTATACATCTTTTACAGGAGCAGAAAGCCTCATCTTTCTCTCGTGAAACAGTTGGTAATTTCAAACTGCTGACCTTCAAGTTAGCCACTTGACAATTTAATCACTATGCTAACCTTTACATTTAGTGATTGTTGTTCTTGTTATGTGCCATGGAGTTGGCTCCGACTCATAGCGACCTTGTACAGGATTTTTGAGGCTGTAAATCTTTACCAGAGCGGAAAGCCTCATCTTTCTCACACGGACAGCTGGTAGTTTCGAACTGCTGATCTTGTGGTTCGTAGCCCAATTCGTAACCACTACGCTAGTGATAAGTACCAAGAAAAAATAAAGTAGTAAAGGGAATGTGTTGAAAAGTGGGTATGGCTGTTTGAAATTTTAGACAGAAGGTCAAGAAAAGTGACCAAAATTAAGAATAGAGTGAGGAAGGCCAGTCACTTACGTAGCTTGTGGATAAACTTTTCATTTCAAGAAAATAGAAAACTAAGTGCAAAGCCTCAGACATGGGGGGAGTGTGGAGAGAGGAAAGCATGCATGCCATGTTCATAGGAAGCCAGTATGGCTAGAACAGATGGAAAAAAACACTCAAGAGACCATGTGACGCCTCACAGACCAAAAGCTTTGGCTTTCACACAGAGATGGAAGTCACTGGAAGACTTTAGAGTAGAGAAGTAATACAATCTGACTTTAACAGGACCAATCTGATGGCTGAGGGAAAATCAGAAAGAAGAGGGACAAGAATGGTGAGGTGAAATCTAGTCCAAGGTACTCTGCAGTAATCTGCAGACAAGAGTACCTTGGACTAGGGTGAAGGCAAGTGAAATTGGTGAGTAGTAGGTCAAATCCTGTATATATTTTGATGGTAGAGCCAACAGGATCTGTGGACAAATCAGCTGAGAAACTAAGAGTTGGCTTAAAAATAACTTTTAAAAAATTTAACCTACTCAAGAGGATGGGCTTGCCAGTAATGAGATGGAAAAGAATGCTGAAGAACCAAGGTTAAGAATTTTAGGACCTTGCTTTAAACACACTGAGATAACTACTGTGGTGAAATGAATTCTTTTCTGTAGCCTTTTGTCTTGGTTCTTTAGAAAAACAACTTGAGATTTTCTTCCTAAACCTGAGAAATTACCTTTGCTCTAGTTTCCTACCCTAGAGGATTTGTTAATTTTGTCCAGGTTAATTGACGTTTCCTGGATAAACTGTCAGCAGCTTGTGGTTTGATGTTTTTTGTCTGGTCCTGGGCCACAGCCTGCCCTGAGACTGGTATGCATCTTGTAGGGATTAGTCAGTAAGACTATGAAAAAGTGTTAACAGTAGCCACTTGCAATTGTTAACTGCGTCAAACTGGTTCTGCCTCATAGAAACCCTGCACAGAGTTTTCTGAGAAACAGCTGGTGGTTTTTGAACTTGTGGGTCACAGTCCAGTGCTGATCCTACAGCACCACAAATGAAAAATCCGTGGCCCATCAAGAAGGGATTGGAAGTATGTGGCCTCCCCATCGGTAGAGGGTGATGCTTGGAAACTGATAGTTATATGTAGGAGGGGGCTTCAAAAGAAGCAGAGAAGATGGAAGAAAAAACAAGAGAGATGGGGAAAAGAGAAGATAAATAGAGAGAAAAAAGAGAGACGAGGCAAGGAACATCTTACAAGAACTGTTAACAGTGAAGAAACAGAAATGCCCGGAATGGGCCAACAGAAGAGATGGTGGTAAGAGACATGGAAGGGACATTGTGGCAATGCCCGTGGTGACAGAAAGGCCCAGAACACGTGTCCTGAGGAGATCAATAGAGTCCTACACAGCCCAAGAACTGTCCTGCACTGAAAAAGGGAGACTTTGCGTCCTGATCCTAAATTGTACCTGGAGTTCTGCTATGGCACTGTGGGTTAATGCACTGGACTACAAGATCAGTTTGAACCACAAGGTTGGCGGCTCGAACTCACCAGTCACTCCTTGGAAACCCTATACAGGGTCACTATGGGTTGGAAACAACTCGGCGGTACTTAACAACTTTCTTACTATACCACTTAACTGTTAGTACAGTTCAGGAGTTCTGTGTGGCTAATGGATTACTGAACCTAGAAGAGAAGTAGAGAGTGTTGTGGGAGGGACAGCTGGTGTCACAACTACTAAAAAGGTTGGAAAGTAGATGTAACTGACCTGTACCTTACAGGAATGTTAAGAAAGGTAGCAAGAAAACCAAAGAAATTTGTTTCCTGGAGACCAAATTGGAGGAAGAAAAATGCTTCAGAGAGAAGTGTGATAAATATTGCCGAAGTGATAGATCAAGTCAGTCAGATTTAAAAATAACTGCTGAATTTAGCAAGAAGGTCTCTAATGGCATGAAGAGTTTTGGTGAAGTGATATGGGTAAAAAGCTTAACTGGAGTGGGCTTACAAAACAATGGGGAAAGAAACAAGAAAGTATAGGCAATTCTTTCAGAGTATTCTCTAGAGTAGAAAAAGCCCGTTAGGGGCTTTCAGTTTTACAGAAGAAATAACAATATTTGTAACGAGGATAGGAATGATCCAGCAGAGAAGTAAAACAAATGGTACACTTCATAAGAGAAGAAGAAAAATTGCTGGAGCAAATGGGATAGGATTTAATAAACACAAGTGTTACTCTTAGCTATGAGAAAAGAGAAAAATGGACATATCTAGTTGCAGGTTCATGGGATTTATGAGGAGGACCTGCAGAAATTATTTTCTGCTTACTTCAATTTCCCCAATTAAGTGGGAAGCAAGACTATCAGTTGAGAATAAGACTGGTGGAGATAACTGAAGGTTTCACAAGAGCCATTTCAAGTATTTGTTCTGCAGTTGGAGAAAGAACACTAGAAAAAGATGGGGTCACTCATGGGCAGTAGTATAAACCCACTTGAGATTACCCGTAGCCATCAAATTTCCAATGTGGTAAACATTCATAATAGTAGACTGACATCTTTCTCCAGTGGAAAGGTTGGTGGGTTCAAACTGCCTACCTTTCAGACAGGTTAGCAGGCCTGTCCTTAACCAATGAAATCATTAGGACTCTTTCACTTCAGCGTAATGGTCATCAGTTTAAAGCGAGACCAGTCTGTTTGTGTCATTTTTTTCAATTGCCTATTAGTTAGATGCACTGGTAGAGATACAAATAGGCAAAGACAGACTAAATCAGGACTGCTGTTAAGTGACACAAAAGGGATAAAGTTGTTGTGAAGTGTGGTCAAGTTGGTTCCAACTCACAGTGTCCCTGGTAAAAGATTCCGAGGAACAGCTAGTGGGTTTGAACTGCCCACCTTGCGGTTAGGAGTCCAGTGCTTATTCTATAGTGCCACACCTGGACTCTGAAATAGATGACTGCAAAAGGGGTAAGTGATATATACTGATTATTGTGAAATCAGGATGAGTGTTGAGAGAACTTTCAAGGTCCAGACAGATAAATTTTATCAGTTTTATAACATATGTAAGAAAACAATCTTGAATACTGAATTTAATGATAAATCTTTCAGTCTAACCCCATAAAATAAAACAAAATACAATGTGTAGCTTGAATCTATAATCATAAAAATAACATTTTAACCAAATGAATTAACTAGTCATAACTAATTGCTCAAAACTTCAACTTAGAAAATGTTCATATAGGATTTCATTTGTACAGATAGATAGGCCAATCAAGTTTGAAAATTAAATCAAAATACAATGACATGTAAATTAGGAAGAACTCTTAAAAAAAAAAAAAAAAAAGAATTGCCATAAGAAAGAAGAAAAGATCATTGAATTACTTTCCACAAGTCTCCTAGTAAACTGTGGCACTGTGGGCTAATGCACTGGACTGCAAAGTCAGTTTGAACTGCAAGGCTGACAGTTCAAGTTCACAGCTGCTCCTTGGAAATCCTATACAGGGTCGCTATGGGTTAGAACTGACTCAATGGCATTTAACAACAACAAACTCGTATAACACTGTTCAATTTACTAAGTTATTAATTAATTCTAAATGCAAAATACATATCTACCTCTGAATATATGATTTCCCAAACTGAAAATTGCAGTTTCAGGTTTTTGATCCCTGCTGGATACAGGTGTAAGTTATTTGGTGGCATAGTGGACTTAAGCATTTTGCTCTAGTCTAAAGGCAGCTGGTTTGAACTCAGCAGCCTCTCCACTGGAGAAAGATGTGGCAGTCTGCTTCCATAAAGATTTATAGCCTCAAAACAGTTCGTCTCTGTCCTATAGGGTTGCTAAGAATCTAATACGTTGGAATCGACTCAACAGCATTATGTTTGGTTTGGATGAAGGTATGATTTTCCTTTATGCCAAGCAAAAAAAAAAAATTAAAAAAAATCAGAAGTTCTCAGGTGTAGCAAGACTTCTTAGTGCTAAGAGTGCCACTAACTGACATGTCCCCCATTTCCACCACCATGAACAATAACATCTCCTGCAGCTTTTTGGGGTCACTACACTTGAAAAAGATTCCATATCCTTTGCTTAAAAAGTCAGAAGTGTAATTTACCCTTACAACAATCAGTGTGTTTGTAGACTTTGTCCAATAGTATTTCACATAAAGTACTATATTTTAAAGCCTAGTCTACTCTAAGTGGTCTTAGAATGTAAACATATTACAAAGTTTCTAATTAGGCTTATATCTAACATCCAGATAGATTGTATCATATGAGGGGGCAGTATAATATCAGGGATGACTATGAACTATGAGAACCATACTGTTTGTATATGATTTTGAACAAGTTAAACAAGAGGCTTCAAAAAGTTTGTGGAAAAGTGGAATCTAAGCATAACAGAATTTTTCCATGAGCATTTTGAAGTCCCTTTGTATCTCTCACAGACACCTGGTAGCACAGTGGTTTAACACTCTGCTCCTGACCAAATGGCTGGTAGAATGAACTTACCCAGCAAGACCTGGAGATCTGCTTCCACAAAAATTATGCCTAGGTCCCCTATTGGGCTATGTACTGAAAGAGACAGTACAATATCTAACAACAAAAACACTGTATCTCTTTGTGCTTTGCCTTTCCCAACTACAAAATAGGGTTATTAATAAAAATACCTACCCTAGAGCCTATATTCTCAAAGAGTATGAAAATTAGTTCTTATGGAGATTAAGTAAAATTTTTTGACTGTCTTTATGAACAAAGGTGGATCAGTGATTTAAGTTGCTACAAGAAAGGTTGGTGGTTTGAACATCTCAGCTGCTCTGTGGGAGAAATGTGGCAGTCTGCTTCCATAAGGATTTGTAACCTTAGCAACCCTATGGGGCACACCTACTCTGTCCTGTAGGATCACTGTGAGTTGGAATTGACTCAAAAGCAATGGGTTTAAACATACAGGACATACAAAAAATAATTGAAGTGTTATCTGTGGTCTTAAAATTACACTGGCAAGGCCTGAGACGACATGAAAAAATAAAAAAGTCTGAAAATAGCTCAAAAGGTCATAATTTTTAAAAGGCTGGGAAATACTGCCCTATAAAATTATTATGAAGAGTCTATTAGGTAAGGTATATAACAGTGTTTGTAGATATGAAGAGAAAAATAAATGGCCAAAATTTATATTCAACTGAGTATCTCATAAGTGAGAATTAAACTTCAAAAGAAAATGAAATGCTACATTCTGAAGACAAAGTGACTTACGTGGGAGTGCAACAACTGATATGCAAGGAGTAGAATCGTCAATACTCTGATCATCCTCAGAAGACAAACAAAGTCTTTTATGCGGAGGTTCAGTACTATCTTCTGAGTCTATTTCATCAGCTTCTAATGAGAACAAAACACAGCACCATATAAGCACCATATAAAAATCTCAAAAACTTTAAACTAATGAGGAAAAATGCCGAAGTCTCTAACTGGTCATGACTCCAGAAAAATCGTATGGCTTTGTTTAGTTAATGAATCCCATTAGTGTGAACAAGGTTTCAAAAAGACAATGCCTTCCCTATGTAGATCTAGAGCAATTGCTCAGATCTTATTTGTTTTAATTTTCTATGTGAACACCTCTTCTTTTTTGTTTTTCTTTCAAACTCATTTATTTGTGTGGCACTGCAGATTAATGTGCTGGACTGCAAAGTTGGTTTGAACTGCAAGAATTGGCAGTTCAAGCTCACCAGTAGCTTCTCGGAAACCATATACAGGGTCACTTAACACATATATCTCATTCTTCCTCCCTTACCCATTCAGCCTATGACTCAGTCCATGCATCTAGATACAGAACACTATTGTTCCACGGTTGTGTACGTAATTGCTTACTTCTAAGCCCTTTAGCTCAAGCATACCTTCCTGTATCAACATAGATCTTCATTATTCTTCTGCCACCTTCGCCTTTCGTGTATACTGCCCTCCGTATCACCCCAGGTAACATGTGTCTACCCTCTAGAGAATTACCCTCACAACCCTGATAACTATCAAAGAACATTTCTTTTAGTATAGAAATCTTAAGCTTTTAACATAATGGTCTCATATAGTATTTGTCTTTTTGTGACTGACCAATTTCACTCATCATAATGTCCTCCAGGTTCACTCATTTTGAGGTGTTTTGCAGCTTCATCATTATTCTTCAACATTATGTGATATACCCAAGTTTGTTTATCCATTCTTCCATTGCTGGGTACCTTAAGCTGTTTCCACTGTTTTGCTATTGAGAATAATGCTGCATATACTTACTCAAGTCCTGGCTCCTATTTCTTGGGTATCAAGTAGATTGCTGGGTCATAAGCTATTCTATTTTCAATTTCTAAGGATACGACATATATTATTGGACTATTTTATAGCCCCACCAGTCATGCAGGAGGGTTCCAGTCTCTCCATATCCTCGCCAGTATTTACTGATGTGTTTTTGAACTTTGCTGGTGTGAGATTATGTTTCATTGTTTTGACTTGCATTTCTCTAATGGCTAATGAGCTCTGGTAGCGTAGTAGTTACGAATTGGGCTGTGAATCTTAAGGTCAGCAGTTTGAAACTACCAGCTGTTCCATGGGAGAAAGATGAGGCTTTCTGCTCCCGTAAAGATTTATAGCCTCGGAAACCCTGTACAGGTTCACTATGAATTGGTACCGACTCCACAGCACATAACCACCACCAATGGCTAATGACTGTGAACATTTCTTCACATATTTGGGGGCTGCCGGAATGTCTTCCTTGGTTAAGTGTTTATTTATGTCCTGTGCCCATTTTTTAATTGGGCTGTTGGTCTCTTTCTTGTGGAGATGTTGTAGTTTCCTATAAATTTTGGCTATTAATCCTTTGTCTGATATGCCAATGCAAAACATTTTCCCAAGTCTGTGGGACCTTTTTGACTCTTTTGGGAAAAATCTTTTGATTCACACAGGTGTCTGATTTTTAGTAGGTCCCAGTCATCTAGTATGTCTTCGTTTGTGTTTTTTATGTTTGATAGTGTGTTTTTTTGTCATGTAGTAGAGACCCAAATTTATCTCTATTTTTTAATTGATAATCATCATAGCTCTAGGTTTTACATTTAGGCGTTTAGTTCATGTTGAATTTGTGTTTGTATATGGTGTGAAGTCTGGATCTTGTTTCATTTTTATGCAAATGGATTTCCAGTTTTGTCAGCAATATATGTTGATGATACTACCTCTTCTCCATTTAATGTGCTTTAGCTGTCTGTCAAAAGATCAGCTGCCTGAATGTGGATGGATTTACTTCTGCGTTCTCAATCCTGTTCCATCAACTTATGGGCCTTCTGTTGTAACAGTACCAGGCTGTTTTGACCACTGTGGTTGTGTAGTAAATTTTGAGATCAGGGAGTGAGGTCTCCAATTTTGCTCCTTTTAAGCAGTGCTTTGCTTATCCAAGGTCTTTTTCTATTCCATATAAAGTTTATGATCATTTTTTCCATCTCTTTGCAGAATGTTGTTGGAATCTGAATGGGGTTGCATTTTATCTGTAAATAGGGTCATGCAGTATTGACATTTTCACAACGTTAAGTCTTCCTATTTGTGACAACTCCTATTCTCATAATGAACTATGAATGGTATTCCACTTGTGCTATTACTTGTACTTCACATATAAAAACAGGTGGATTATTTTAATAAAGAGTTTTTTGACTCATTTACAAATATTTATCAAGTACCTAATATATGCTAAGGGCTGAAACAGAACAATGAAAGATGCTCTTTCAAGGAGCCCAATGTGCATAGCAGAGATGACTAAATAATTTCAAAATAATGTAATAATAGCTAGGAAAAGCTCTTATGGACACAGAAAAAGAAGAATTTAAACTAGAAGGTAAGAGGTTTTCTGGAGAAGACATCCTGAACTTGAAAGAAAATCAGAAGTTGGGGGTCAATGATTCCTTGCAGTGGGAAAAAATGTGAGGCATTGAGGTATGAAAGAAGCCCTGGCAACGGTTAAGAGCTTGGTTACCTGAAAAGCCAGAGGTTAGAACCCACTGGTGGTGGTGAAGTACTATGGAGTGGATTTTGACTCATAGTGACCCTGAATAAGGTTTCAGGGGCTATAAATCTTTACAAGAGCAGAAAGCCTCATCTTTCTCCCATGGAACCGCTGATAGTTTTGAACTGCTGACCTGAGATTAGCAGCCCAACTCGTAACCACTACACTGCCAGAGCTCCTAGTCACTCCAAAGAAGAAAAACCTGGCAATCTGCTTCCATAAAGATTATTATTAAGTGTTGTCAAGTCAGGTATGACTCACAGTGACCCCATGTACAACAGAATGATCCTGCAACATCCTCACAATTGTTAGCTATATTTGAGCCTGTTCTTATAGCCACTGTATCAATTCCTTTTGTTGAGTGTCTTCTACTTTACCAAGTGTAATGCCCTTTACAAGGATGGCCCCTCCTGTTAACATGTCCAAAGTATGTATGATGAAGTCTTTCCATCCTCACTTCTAAGGAGACTCCTAGATATAGCTCCTCCAAGACAGATTTGTTCCTTAGTTTGGCAGTCCATGATACGTTCAATATTCTTCACCAACACCGTAATTCAAATGCATCAGTTCTTCTCTGGTCTTAATTCATTGTCCAGCTTTCACATGTTTAACAGACAATTGAAAATATGGCTTGGGTGACAAGCATATTAGTTTTCAAAGCGACATCTTTGCAGCAAGTTTGCCCAAAGCAATATAGTGTTTGATTTTCTGGCTGCTGCTTCCATGGGCAGTGATTGTGTGCCCAAGTAAAGTGAAATGCTTGACAGCCTAGGATACCCTATAGGGCAGTTCAACTCTGTCATATAGGGTCAGTAAAAGTCAGAACTGACCCAGTGGCAATGGGCTTAATTTTGGTTTATAAGCACAGAGAATTAAGAATAAAAATAGAAGTTTGAATGAAATAATCCAGGGATTATGTAAACTGACAAGAGTAGATGGTAGAACCTGGGCTGAGTACAGATGAACTTGAAAACAAAATAAATAGCTATGTGACTAACAATGGTTAAATTTTATGCAAACTTAAAAACATAAACACAATTTAAAAATCATGATTTAAAGACATAATCTCTTTCTACTCTACTAGCCTAATCTAGCTATATAGGTAATAGGAAACAAAGGTGACACAGAATTCAGAAATCCAAAGATTCATAATTACATTTCAGCAACTTCTCCTACCATTCTGAGGGCAATGAAGAATGAGGTTCCCGTCTGTGTCCTGAGTCAAAGTCACAGAGTTCACAGTTTCTACTGTTACTGTGTCAGAATCCTCTTCAACTGTGCTCATACTCAAATCTGTACAACAGATTCCACATTAGCATTTAGTAAGTTAATTACAGATATAAATAGTATCCAGTCTTCTGCCTCTCTTTCTCTATCTCTCTCTCACACACCCACCCACACACACATACACAACAACAACAAAAGTGATTGGGTATCTGCCTATATGCAAAATTGCAGTAACAGTTCATATTCCAAAAGTTTATACTTATTATTTAAAATTAAATGTAATAATCAGCAATAATATGACCACTATCTGTATTTAAGGGGATCATAGTAGCTCCATTCAATAAGCACTGGACTGCGTACCACAAGGTCCATGAGTCAAGTCTACCAGCCACATCATAAGAGAAAAGATGAGACTTTCTACTCCCATGAAGATTTAAAGTCTTGAAACCCTATACAGAGCCATGATGAGTCAGAATCAACTTAAAAGCATGAAGCAGCAACGCAAGAATATCTAAAAGCCTGATGCACTTACTTTTAAAAACAGGTTGTTTTACTATATCCAATGAAAGAATTTCTAAGTTGTTTGTTACATCCAGGAAAACTCATCACTTTTTGGTTATTTTTTTTTCTAGAAGCACTATGATTAATGCAAGCAGCTTTTAAATTTCATATTCTTTAACAAATGATTCATCAGAACTTTAATCTTGATATAACAATCACTTTTACAAAGTGTTTTTTTAAAGTATACCACCCAAGGTATTAATCACTTTTATTTATTTACTAATTAGGCAAACACATTTTCTCTTGGAGTCCTAGTGTGACATTATAGATTAAGCACTGGACTGGTAACTACAAGGGTCACTTGAGTCAGAACCAACTCAATGGCATCTAACAGGAACAACAAAATTTTTCCCTTGGTGAAGACTTGGAAATTTGTTAGTTTATTTTACATATTACTGCTTCAAAACTACATCACTCATGTTACAGTGGCAATGGTGCCATTCCCAAATGAAAGAAATCATGATCTAGTTATGACCAAAAATTGCAAATTCATGAAATGAGGTCATTAGAAAAAGGCAGGCTTACCTGGACAACAGATGGATCAGCTATAGCCCTTCCCACAGAATCAAGTCGCCTTCCCTTAGTCACCAGCATCACTTTCATGTTATCCAGATTGCTTCTCTCCCATGTTCCTAACTCTGCAATGCTCTGAAAAAGGAACAGCATCAGTTAGAATGAATGAAAACTGAGCTCCAGCAGAACACTGAAGACACTAGCCCAAGCCCCTATGATGTGTCAACTAGAATGATAAAATCAGATTTTATTAAGTAGACATTTAAGAAATCAGCTTCGAGAACAATTCCCAAATGATGGGAAAACATGATGAAATAATATACCTAACAAAGCATGCTTACAGCCTGTGGGAGTAAAGTTCTCCTCTAAACCTTCATTGGCAGATGGGGCACAACTCAAAATGAGAAATACCCATAAACATCAATAATCGGAACATGGAATGTATGAAGTATGAATCTAGAAAAACTGAAAATTGTCAAAAATGACATGGAACACATAAACATTGGCATCTTAGACTTTAGTGAGCTGAAATGGACTGGTATTGGCCATTCTGAATCTGACAACCATATGGTTTACTATGCCGGGAATGACAAATTCAAGAGGAATGGTGTTACATTCATCATCAAAAAGAACTTATCAAGATCTGTCATGAAAACAAGTTGTCTGTGATAGAATAATATCCATGCATTTATAGGGAAGACCAGTTAATACCACTATTTAAATTTACAAACCAACCACTAAAGCCAATGAGGATGAAATAGAAGAATTCTACCAACTTCTTCAATCTGAAATTGATCAAACACGCAATCAAGATGCATTGATCCATTACTGTTGATTGGAATGCAAAGGTTGGAAGCAAAGAGGAAGGATCAGTAGTTGGAAAACATGGCCTTGGTGATAGAAATGATGCTGGAGATCACATGATAGAATTCTGCAAAACCAATGATTTGTTCATTTCAAGTACCTTTAGCTAACATAAGAGACGATTATATACATGGACCTCACCAGATGGAATACACAGAAATCAAATTGTCTATCAACATTTGTGGAAACAGACAGTGGAAAAGCTCCTTACCATCAGTGAAAACTAGTCCAGGTGCAGATTGTGGAATGGGCAATCAATTGCTCATATGCAAATTCAAACTGAAGCTGAAGAAAATGAAAACAATTCCACGAGAGCTAAAATATGTACTTGAATATATCCCACCTGAATTTAGAGATCATCTAACAAAGAGATACAATACATTAGACACTAAAGACGGAAGACCAGAGGAATTGTGGGCTGACATGAAGACCATGATACAGGAAGAAAGCAAAAAGTCATTAAGAAGACAAGAAAGAAGGAAAAGATAAAAATTGGATATCAAAGGAGACACTGAAATTTTCACTCCAGTGTAAAGAAGCTAAAGCAAATGGAGAAATGAGGAGGTCCAAGAAATGAACAGAATGTTTCCAAGGTCAGCTCAAGAAGACAAAGTCAAATATTACAACAAAATGTGAGAAGATCTGGAGTCAGAAAACCAAAAGGGAAGAACACACTCAGCATTTCTCAAGCTGGGAAAACTGAAGAAAAGATTTAAGCCTCGACTTTCATTATTCAAGGTTTCTCTGGGTAAATTATTGAATGATGCAGAAAACATCAAAAGGAGATGGAAGGAATACAGTCACTGTACCAAAAAGAAATGGTTGATGTTCTATCGTTTCAAGAGGTAGCATACGATGAGGAGCCAATGATACCGAAGGAAGAAGTCAAGGTGCACTGAAGGAACTGGCAAAGAACAAAGCACCAGGATTTGATGGAATACAAACTGAAATCTTTCAAGAAAGTGAGGCAGCACAGGAGGAACTCACTCATCTATGCTAAGAAATTTGGAACACAGCTATCTGGCCAACTGATTGGAAGAAATCCGTATTTGTGCCCATTCCAAAGAGAGGTGACCCAATGGAATGTGGAAACCATTGGACAATATCTTTGATATGCCATGCGAGTAAAGTTTTGCTAAAGGTAATACAGTTATGGCTGCAAGCATACATTAACACAGAACTTCCAGAAGTTCAGACCGGATTCAGAAGAGGACGTGGAAGGAGGGATATCATTGCTGATGTCCGATGGATCTTGCCTGAAAGCAGAGAATACCAGAATGATAATTTATCTGTGCTTTATTGACTACGCAAAGCACACTGTGTAGTATGAATATTCTGGAACAATTAATTGTGCTCATGAGGAATATGTACATGGACCAAGAGGCAGTTAGTCGTTTGAACAGAACATGGGAACCCTGAATGGTTTAAAATTAACACAGGTGTGTGACAAGGTTGTTTTCTTTCATCATAGTTATTCAACCTGTATGCTGAGCAAATAATCCAAGAAGCTAGTTATAAGAAGAAAAATGTGGCATCAGGATTGGAGGAAGATATGCAGATGATAAAACCTTGCTTGCTGAAAGTGAAGAGGACTTAAAATACTTACTGATGAAGGTCAAAGAGCACAGCCTTTGGTATGGATTGCATCTCAATGTAAAGAAAACAAAAATCCTCACCTCTGGACCAACAGAAAACATTGTTATCAATGGAGAAAAGATTGATGTTGTTAAGGACTTCAGGTTAAGGGCACTCATGGAAGCAGCAGTCAAGATATCAAACGACATATTGCATTAGGCAAATCTGCTGCACAAGACCTTTTTAAAGTATCGAAGACCAAAGATGTCAGCCTGAGGACTAAGTAAGGTGCGCCTGACCCAAGCCATAGTATCTTCAATAACCTCATACGCATGTGAAAGCTGGACAGTGAATAAAGAAGATCGTAGAACTGATAACATATGAATTACTGAAAGTAGCATGTGCTGCCAAAAGAACAAACAGATCTGTGTTGGAAGAAGCACAGCCAGAGTTGCTCCTTGGAGGCAAGGATGACCAAACTTTGTCTCTCATACTCCAGACACACTGTCAAGAGGGACCAGTCACTGGAGAAGGTGGAGGATCAGAGAAAAAGAGGAAGATCCCCCCCACAACAAAATGGATTGGCAAAGTGGCAGCATCAATGGATTCAAGAGTGGCAAAAATTGTGAGGTTAGCCCATGACTGGGTAGTGCTTCGTTCTGTTGTACATACGGTTGCTTTGAGTTGGTTCCAACTTGATGGTACCTAACAACAAGAAGTTTTTATAATCAGGCAGTTAAATATTCTCTAAAAAAAATAAGCAAATTCTACAGTAGTTCTGTGAGCCTCAGTATGCAGCATGACATAGTGCATACATCAACCATGACAGTTCCATATGTATTATCAGTAACTGTTTTCCTTTATAATTTATTCTTAATACCTCTTTATATATAGTATAGTCCTAGTGTGGCACTATAGGATAAGCATAGATTGGTAATTGCAAGGGTGGTAGTTTAAACCTACCTTGCGGTCCAGTGCATTATTCCACAGTGACACATTTCATTTCAAAGCATTCAATTTTATGTAACATCTATTGGTTCAGAAAGCATAAGAATATAGGTACTGTGTAGGGAATCTGTGGGGAAAATAAACGCTAGAAAAATACAAATCACAAGGAAACTCTTCGACATCTTGTTATAGTTAAGTGCCATCAAGTCAGTTCTATCTCATCGCGACCCTGTGTAGAGTTTCCAAAGAGCAGCTGATGGGTTTGTACTGACGACCTTGTGGTTCAAAACCCAGTGTTGATCCTACAGCGCTGTATTAGGACTCCTTCCATAATATGAAATTGCTGCTTTTTAAAGATTTCTTACAATAGGCTTCTATCTTCATTCCAAAGAGCAAATAAAAAAATCAAAACATTTTAAAGTAAAATGGTTCAAGGGAGTATTTCAGCAAACTAAGGATTAAAAGCTCTCATTTTTTAGAGCAGTCCAATCAAAATCCCCCAATCTCCAGGATGGTTATGCTTGAGAATTATTATACATAAATATATCTGGGGTAAGAGCTGGTATAGGTCTTACTTTCTAAAGAAACATCAACTAGCTATTAAGATTTATGAAGTTGTTCTGATTTCTGAATCCATAGTATCTTATATGAAACGTGATTTCCCCACAATACAAGAATAGGGGAAGGAACTGTGCAATAAATAAAAGGATATAAAATTATTGATAAACTCACTAAAACAAAATGACAATGAATTCTTTGGTATGGTTCCTCTACTCTTAGGTAGAGTCTGTGTACATATGAAACCATAATGTGTATGTCTGTGCATGCAATTCTTACACACTGCTATTTAGAGATTGACCATATTAAGAGTCACTGTATGAACACCAACTTAGGAATTTAACAGAAATTCTCTTTAACCTCTTTTCTTCCATTTGCTTTAGAATGTCCATGCAAGACAGCAGGTTTCAGAGTGTCTTCTGATACTCATTTTGGTATTTTCCTTCTTTCTGGTCTTCTTAATGACCCTTTGCTTTCTTCCTGTGTAATGTTCTTGAGGTCATCCCACAACTGGTCTGATCTTCGGTCATTAGTGCCTAAGGCATCAAATCAAATCTGTTCTTCAGATGATCTCTAAATTCGGGTGGGATATTTTTAAGGTTATATTTTGGCTCTCGTAGACTTGTTTTCTTTTTGTTTAGCTTTAGCTTGTACTTGCATATGAGCCAGTCATGGTCTGTTTCAGTTTGCCTCAAATCTTGTTTTGGCTGATGATATGGAGATTTTCCATCATTGTCTTCCCACTATCTGTTGAGGCACATATATATAGTCTTGCAAAATTTTATCATGTAATCTCCACCATCATTACTATCAAACCAAGGCTATAGTTTACAACTACTGACTCTTCCTTTTTGTTTCCAATTGCTGCATTCCAATCACCAATGTATTCTAATTATTAATACATTTTGATTGCATATCCAGTCAATTTCTAACTGAAGAAGTTGTTAGAGAATTATTTAATTTCATCATCACTGGCTTTAGTGGTTAGAATGAATGTAAATTTAAATAGTGATTGTCTTTGTAGGCATATGGATATTATCCTATCACAGACAGCACTGTACTTCAAGACAGGTCTTTAAATGATCTTTTTTGATGATGAATGCAACGTCAATCATCTTCAATTTGTCATTCCCACCATAGTAAACCATGTGGCTGTCAGACTGAAAATGGCCAATACCAGTCCATTTCAG